GCCAGAGCCACCACCACCAGAGAAAATGGAGGCAGCCCTGGCGCCAGGCAGGCAGAAGTCGGGCAGGCATCCATCCCCTAAGCACAGCCAGGCCAGGGGTCACTCACGAGGTTGTGCCAGGCCAGGCGGCTCCCTCTCTGACTCTGCGTTGTCCCCGACCTCAGCCGATGCCGCCTCAGGCTGCTCGCTCCGTACCGCGGTGCGGCTCAGTGGGCTACTCGCTCCGTCCCACGGCGTGGCTCGGAGGGCTGCTCGTTCCATCCTGTGGCACGGCTTGTCGGGCTGCTCACTCTGTCCTGTTTTGTTTACATTCTAATTTTCTTCTTAACTGTTCCTCTTTAACAGTGTTTCCTCAAGAAATTAAACTTTGTGCTCATGAAAGTACCATCATCGTGGGTACCACTATGTTAATGTTGCTAGGTTCTTAACTGCTGAAAGTCTTTTGTACATGAAAAATAATAGTTATTAGTACCTTTTGTACCATTTATACATTTTGAGAGCAATTAATATTTTTTGAATTATTAAACAATTACCCTGACAGCTAAAATGTGTACATTTCAAAAAAAAATGATGGAGCAGCAATTAAACATCCATAGCCAAAATAAATAATCAACCTTGACACAAAACCTCACACCTTATAAAATAGTTTACTCAAAATGGATCACAGATTCACCTGTAAGGTGTAAAATTATAAAATTTTTAGAAAAAAAAAAACTTTAAAACTTAAAATTAGGCAAAGAATTCTTAGACATGACACCAGAACTTAATTACTAAAAGAATAAAATTGATGATTGACTTTATTAAAATTAAAAATTTTTCTCTGCAAAAGACCCTGTCAAGAGTATTAAAGACAAATTACAAACTGGGAAAAGATATTTGCAAACCGCATACCTAGAATATATAAAAGTACTCTTAAAATTCAACAGTAAAAAAACATTAGAAAATGTACAAAATACATAAACAGAGTTTTTACCAAAGAGAATATATAGGTAGCAAAAGACACATAAAATGATGTTCAAAATCATTAGCCATTAGGGAAATACAAATTAAACCCACAATGGAATATCACTATACATCTACTAAGGTGATTATAATTAAAAATAATAATGATGTTGTAGAATATACTATAAAGCATATGTAATTCACAGGGCCCGATTATCCAAAGCCTTGCAGTTTCAAATATTGACCTTGTGGAGGACTGGAAATTTTCCTCAGGCTATAAAGTCTCTGTTGCAAGATAAGAATTGTGGCACAGAAAGATTGCCGGCTCAAAGACAGATTAGTTACTGATTGATATCTAAGTTGTTGGAAAACTGCTAGAGGGAGAAGGAATGTTTGCTAAGACCAAGCTTTTGTTGATAGCTTTACTGAAATGTCATTTGGCTTGTTTCACTGAAAGTTGCCAACCTATATTGTTAAACTATAACCCCACCTATGTTCTCTTCCTGTAACTTACTGGTCTGGAAAATAAATGCAGGAAGAGAACCCCAATTTGGTGTTAATTTCCCAAGGAAGGGTTGCCTCTTGCTGGAGCATTTCTAGGGAAGTTAACCACTTCTGGGCTTCTCACTGCTCAGAAGAGATGGGCTTTGAGTAATCCTTTGTGTCTCTGTCACCCAGGGGAAGTGGGGTGACAAATCCATGGGGGGCAAAGCAACACAAAGCAACATAATGTTAAATTCTGATAAGTATGCAAAGAAAGTGGATCTCTCATACATTGCTGATAGGGATGTAAAATGGTACAACCACTTTGGAAAACAGTCTGGTAGTTTTTTTATAAAACCATATACATTTATTATATGACCTAACAATTCCACTTTTGACATTTGTCCTCAAGAAATTAAAACTTACATTCACGAAAAGGCCTGTGCATGAGTGTTCATAGCAGCTTCACTGATAATAACCAAAAACTGGTGAAAAAAAATCTTCAATAGGTAAATGGTTAAACAAACTGTATTACATCCATACAGTGGAATACTACTCAGTAATACAAAGAAATGAACTAGTTACATATGCAGCAATTTGAATGTCTCTCAAAGGTACTAAAAAACATCAATCTCAAAAGGTTACATATTCCATTTCTATAACATTCTTGAAATGACAAAATAAAGTATCTGGAAAATGACAAACTTTTAGAGAAGTAAAACAGATAAGTGACTGCAAGGAGATAGTGAAAGTAGTGGTGGAGATGACTATAAAAATGGTTAGCATAAGAGAGTTCCTTTGTGGTGATGGAACATTTCTGTATTGTAGTTATGTGAATTGATACATGCAATAAAAATTGTGAAGAACTACACACACACACACACACACACACACAAGTGCATGTAAAAACTCGTAAAGTATGAATAAGTTCTGTAGTCTAGTAATAGGATTTCACCAATGTCGATTTACTTGTTTTGGGATTATGCTACAATTAGATGGGATGTAAGCATTAGAGGAAGCTAGGTGGAAGATAAACAGGACTCTCTTCACTATTTTTTAAACCTCCTGTGAGCCTAATTCTTTCAAAACAAATGCTTAAAATGCGTACAAGCTTAACAGATTAAATTTCCTAAACATTTAAATACTGATATATGGGCATACCTCGTAGGTACTGTGGAATCAGTTCCAGATCACTGCAGTAAAGCAAATACTGCAATAAAGTGTCACATTAATTTGGGGGGTTCCCAGTGCATGTAAAAGTTATGTTTACACTGTACTGTATTTTAGTAAGTGTGCAATAGCATTATGTCTCAAAAAACAGTGTACACACTTTAATTAAAAAAATATCTTATTGACAAAAATTGCTAATAATAATGTGAGCCTTCAGTGATTCATAATCTTTTTGCTGGTTAGGGGTCTTGCGTTGATGTTTATGGATGCTGACCAATCATGGTGATGGTTGCTGATGGCTGAGTTGGCTGTGGCAATTTCTTAAAATATGACAACAATGAAGTTTACCACATCAATTGGCTCTTTCTTTCATGAAAGATTTCTCTGTAGTATGTGATGCTGTTTGATAGCATTTTACCAACAGTAAATTCTGGACTCATTTTCAAAAGTAAAAGAAAAAAATATTTTTATGAAAGAATTTTGAACGCTCAGAATTGGATTGAATCCTCTCAAACCTAGTTACAGCTTTATTAACTATGTTTATGTAATATTCTAAATTATTTGTTAACACTTCAAAAATATTCACAGCATCTTCATCAGGAGTAGAATCCATCCAAGAAGCCACTTTATCTGATCACCTATAAGAAGCAATTTCTCATCCATTAAAGTTTTATCATGAGATTGCAGCAATTCAATCACAAATTCAGACCCCACTTCTAAGTTTAGTTTTCTTGCTATTTCTATCACACTGTCATTAATTCCTCCACTGAAACCCTCAAAGTTATCCATGATCATTGGAATTAACTTCCTCCAAACTCCTGTTAATGCTGATATTTTTACCTTCTCCCATAAATCATAAATGTTCTTAATGGCATCTAGAATGGTGAATTATATCCAGAAGATTTTCAATTTACTTTGCCCAGATCCATCAGAGGAATAACTATCCATAGCAGCTATTCCTTCAAGTAAGTTATTTCTTAAATAATAAAACTTAAAAGTCAGAATCACTCCTTGATCCACGGGCTGTAGAATGGATTTACGTTAGCAGGCATAGAAATGTCATTGATCTCTTTGTGCATCTCCATCAGAGCTCTTGCTTAAGCAGTTGCTGCAGCTTCTACATCAGCACTAGCTGCTTCACCTTGCACTTTGATGTTATGGAGACAGTTTCATTCCTTAAACCTCATGAACCAACCTCTGCTAGCTTCAAAATTTTCTTCTGCAGCTTCTTCACCTCTTTCAGCATTTATAGAATTAAAAAGAATTGCTTTGGATTAGGCTTTGGCTTAAAGCAATGTTGTGGCTGATTTGATATTTTATTCAGACCACTAAAACTCTACTCATATGGGCACTAAGACTGTTTCACTTTCTTATCATTTGTGTGTTCATTGGAATAGTACTTTTAATTTCCTTCAAGAAATTTTTCTTTGCATTCACAACTTGGCCAACTGTCTGGAGCAGGAGGCCTAGCTTTCAGCCTATCTTAGCTTTTGACAAGCCTTCTTCACTAAGCTTAATCATTTTAAAGTGAAAGGTATGCAACTTTTCCTTTTACTAGAACACTTAGAGGACATCGTGGGTTTATTAATTGGACTGATTTTAATATTGCTGCTTCTCAGAGAATAGAGAGGCCCAAGGAGAGAAATATGGAGGAACTACCTGTTGGTGGAGCAGTCAGAACACACACATTTATCAATTAAGTTTTCCATCTTATATGGGCAATCTTGGTAGCCTTCAAAACAATTACAATAGTAACATCAAAGATTATTGATCACAAGTCACCATAGCAGGTATAATAACAATGAAAACATTTTAAATATTATAAAAATGACCAATGTGACACAGAGACACTAAGTAAGCACATGCTGCTAAAAAAAATAAAAAATAAAAAATGGTGCCAATAGACTTGCTTGATGGAGAGTTGTCACAAACCTTCAATTTGTGAAAAATGCAATATCTGTGAAATGCAATAAAATGAAATGCAATGAAATTATGTATGCCTGTAAATGTTTAATCAAATTCTTACATTTGTCAAGTTCTCAAAATAATATATTGAATTATTTAAAATGCTTTAAGCACTATATAAATTGGAACTTACAGTGTCTGCTTAGCATGTAGTAACCTGAAAAAAGTGCTGTGACCACTCTGACATCTAGAAAAAGCCAGATAATCTATGAAATCATAACTTTTCTTGAGTCTCTGAAATAATTAACGTTGAAGGGCAGTCAAAGGGCCCAGAATCTAAGGAAAGGCAGTTACTTGCAGTAGAAGACAGGACACATCATTGGGTTGCCTAGGGCAGAGACAGGAGGGAAATAAAGTGGGCATTCAAATGGGTAAAAAGAATTTGGCCAAATTTGCACCAAATTGTTGATTTCTGAGTAGAGGATAGCATGAGAGTATAGATTTTCTAAAAGCTAGAAACAAAAAGGGAATTTGCATCCATTCACATGCTCTTCACACAACTCACCATGTGTTCCACAGTGCTGGCCTTCCTTCCAGAGCAAATCTGGAAGAGGAAAACCCGACACTGTGAAACAACAGAAAGTCCCACCTGAATCTTTCTTCTCAAAAAACCAAAAGACTAAGATGTTAAGGGAAAAACAGTAAACTCTTTCTCAGTGATATTATAGGTAAAGACCCATTGTAAGAAGTTGGGAACTAAAAGAAATTTCTTAGAGTCAGGTAGGAAAGCCTCCCAGGCTCAGGTCATTTGAGATTTTTTACCAATTGAGGCAGAACATCATCACTGAGAAAGCTACAGCCTCAAAAATCAGGGATACAAAGCCTGCCTAAGACTAAGGCTAAACAAGAACAACAGAAAGCACAAAAGTATAACCATCTATCCCTACCCCAACTCCTCTCGGATTTACTTCAAGGTTAACAAGCATGAAGTAATAAGAAAAAAACTGTCTACTACTTGGACAATGACAAGAACATGAAGAGAGAACCTCTGAGACATTCAGCACTTAGGGAAATCCTAAGTGTGAGAGTGGAGCAAGGCAAGAACACTGAGAAAAACTCTCTCATAATTCAGTTCCCCACCCTCAAGCACAGGTAACAGTAGAAAACCAACTTGAACCTGACAGTGTAACAAAACAAACAAAACAACCATAACAAGAAAACACAAACTTCACTACAAACCAGATTTATTCAAAACTTAGCTAAAGATCTAGGGAAAGAAGATGGTTGCCCATTTCCAGGCATCAATAATATTTATTTCAGTCTCTACTTGCCTATATATCATGTCTATGTATGAGATACACAAACACATGTTCACACACAAATGTCAAAGTAAAAAGCAATCAGCAATCAACAAATTTAGACTTAGATAAAGCCCAGATGTTGGAACTACCGAACAGTGACTTTTAAATAACTATACTTAATTTGCTAAAGACTTTAGTGAAAAAGGTGGACATCTTTCATGAACAGACAGGAAATTTTTAAGAGATGGAAAGTATAAGAAAGAATCAAATAGGAAAACAAAGGACAAAACAGACACATTACAAGAGAGATGAAGAACACCTTCAAAAGGCCCATGAGAATATTCAACACAGCTGAAATAAATATCAGTAAACTTCAACTTAGGTCAATAAGAATAACTCAAACTAAGACACAAAGAGGAAAGAGAGTGGGGAAAAAAAGTACAGAGAATCTTAAGTAATGGTACAATATGAATCAGTCTAACATATGGGTAATTGGGATACTAGAAAAAGAAAGAGAGGGGCAAAATACATTTTTAAATATTTTAAAAACATTTTAAGAAATCATTGCTGATTTTTTAAATCTAATAAATTTGATCCAAGAACCAAGAAACTCAGCAATCAATAAAAGAAAAAAAAGTACTACATACAACATACTAAAAGTGCTGGTAGCTAAAGAATTAAAGGAAGGAAGCCAGAAGAAAAAATAAATATTGTGTACAGAGGAACAATTACAAAGAGTACACTAGACTTCTCATTAGAAAATATACAATCAGAAAATAATGTATTGACAGCATTAAAGCAATGGAAACAAAATACACACACACACACATATATATATATATATATAGACACTTGACTGCACTGATTCAAGGGGAGTCACCAGCAGACACCAGAGAAAGAAGAGGACACCACTCTCCTCAAAACTCACTCCAGAGTAATAGAAGAAACAACTGCTCTACCAGATGACAAGGCATCAATATAGAGATACTAGAAATACAAAATCCCAAGAAAATATCACACCACCAAAAGAATACAGTCATTCTCAAATACTAGACCCAATAGAGCAGTAACCCCTTGAAATGACTGAAAAGGAATCCTGAGCAACAGAAGGACTCATTTAGACAAGATAATGAAATGAGAAAAAAAATACATTGTATGAAGGAAGAAATTTACAAAGAGATAAATAAATACCTTTAAAAAGAATGTACCAGAACTCATGGAACTGAAAGATTCACTCAATGAAATAAAAACACACAACAGAGAGCTTAAGACACAACAGCAGACTAGAACAAGCAGAAGAAATAATTTCTGGTCTTGAAGATAGTCTTTTTGAAATAACCCAGGTAGACAAGAAGGAAAAGAGACTTTAAAGAAATGAAGAAAATCTAAGAGAGCTAGCAGACAACCTTAAGTGCTCAGACATTCTAATTACGGATGTTCTAGAAAGGGAGAAAGAAAAGGCATGGAAAAACTATTCAATGAAATAATAATATAAAACTTCCCAGGTATAACAAGAGACCTAGACCTTCAGATCCAGGAGGCTCAAAGATCACCAAACAGATTCAATCTTAAAAGACCCTCTCTGAGACACATTATAGTAAAACTGGCAAAACTCCAAGACAAAAAGAGAATCTTAAAAGAAGCAAGAGAATAGCAAAAAGTCACCTATAAGGGAACCCCTATCAGACTAACAGCAGATTTCTCAACAGAAATTCTTCAGGCCAGGAGAAAATGGGATGATATATTCAAACTACTAAAAGAAAAATACTGCCAGCCAAGAATATTATATCCAGCAAGACTACCCTTCAGAAATGAAGGAAAAATAGTGTATTTTCCAAACAAAAACCGTGGGAGTTCACCACCTCATGACCAGTCCTATAAGAAATCATCAAGGAAGTCCTACATCTGTAATCTGAAAAATGATAATCATTATCACAAATATACAAGAAAGAACAAAACTCACTTGTAGAACAAAAGAGCAAACAAGCAAGAGAAAGAAACTAAATTTTACCAATACAAAAACATAATGACAATGTTATTTAGAAGTGTCTTTTTCAATTTTCAAATATTTGCAGATTTTCCAGATATACTTCAGTCATTGTTTTTTAGTTTAATTACATTGTGGTTAGAGAACATATCTTATATGCCTTGAATGATATTTATCTTTATTAAGACTTATTTTATGGCCCATGATATGGTCTACATGTCTTATGTGTATTTCAAAAGAATATATATTTTGCTGTTCTACAAATGTTAATCAGGTCAAGTTGGTTAATGCTGTTTTTCAAATATTTATAGTACTTAATGAATTTTGTCATCTTGTTCTATCAATTACTAAGAGATGTGTATTAAAATCACCATTACAAATACAGATTTTTCTATTTCACCTTGATGTCCTTCTAGTTTTGTTTCATGTATTTTGATGCTCTGTTATTAGATGAATTAATATTTAGGATTATTAGGTCATCTCAATAATTCATCCCATTTATTATTATGAAAAAAAAAAAAAAGAAGAGAAAGAGATTTCATTTTTTTTTTTTTTAG